GACGCTTCTGAGGATTTCCTGCAACAAGTTGATGCGCGATACAAGTAGATGCGAGAAATGAAATAAGATTTTTGGAAGATTGATTTTCTAGTGTGAGATTTGTTGAGCATCTAGACTTGAGATTTAGATGTGTCGCCCCCCTCGTGCGCGATGCCAGTAGATACAAGAAATCAAAGAAGATTTTTCGAAGTTTGATTCGCTAGTGTGAGATTTGTAGAGCATCTAGAATTGAGATTTAAATGTGTCGCCCCCTTCGTGTTATACGCCATCTGCATCAGCCGAAAATGGAGACGGAGCCTTCTTGATGTTCGGAATAAACGCAGCGCTGACATCGCGACTGACCATCATCTCCTGGTCGGTAAGATCCGCCTACGCATTGCGCGGGTTCAATGGCGGGAGGAGAGACTCGGGCGGCGATTCAACACACACCGACTGGAAGACTCAGCAGTGAAGAGATCGTTCGTCAAAGAACTCAAAGCTCGCGCAGCTGATATTCCGGAAGGTGGCAGCGTAGAAGAATAGTGGACAAGTATCAAGAATGCCTTTATTGAAACAAGCAAGAACAACCTGGGTGAGCTGCGCACTCAGAGGAAGGAGTGGATCACCGATGAAATCTGAAGGAAGATCGAGGAGCGGAGAGAAGCAAAAGCCGCGATAGAGCGAGCAAGGATCCGAATAGCCAAGAACGAGGCCCGTCAGCGGTATTCGGCTCTGGAGAAGGAAGTTAAAGCGTTCCTGTATACGGGACAAGCGAGTGTTGGTGGACTCCCTGGCTGACGAAGGGGAGAAAGCCGCAGCAACTGTCGATATCCACCTCCTCTATGATGTTTCACGACGCCTGAGGATGACGGCAAGGATGAACCCAAGGATGCCTGGGAAAGACGCGACTGACCAGTTGAAACGTTGGTTTGAGCATTTTGAACAACTTCTCGAAGCTTCAACGGTCACCCAACCATCAACATCGTTACTCGCGTCAACACTGAAGCTTCATTATTGCAGGAGATAGAAGCAGCCATCCGAGGTATGAAGTCCAACAAAGCCCCGGGGGTCGATCGCATATCAACAGAGATGCTCAAATCTGACCCCATGCTATCCTCACAAATATTGCATCAACTATCCGTCAATACTTGGGACACCGTGACTATTCCGGCCGACTGGATGCAGGGCGTCTTGGTAAAAGTTCGCAAGAAGGGGGATCCAACTGTATGCGACAACTGGCGAGGCATCATGTTATCGTGTATTGTTTTCATTGTTCTGTGTAAAGTTATCCTCAATCGGATACAGGAGAAGATCGACGCGACTCTCCGACGACAGCAGCCAGGATTCCGTGCTGAAAGATCCTGTGTAGACCATATTGTCGTGCTCCGCATCATCTTGGAGCAGGTCAATGAGTTCTAAGAGTCCCTGTACTTGGTATTCATTGACTACGAATAAGCTTTCGAGCGACTAAACCACGAAAACTTGTGGGGCGGTCTGAGACGCAAGGGAGTCCCTGATAAGATCGTCAACCTCATCGAAGCGCAGTACGAGGCTTTCTCATGCAGAGTGTTGCACAACGGAGCTCTGTCTGACCCGATTCGGGTAATCGCGGGTGTGAGGCAAGGATGTATATTATCACCGCTACTGTTCCTCATCGTAATCGACGAGATCATGGTTGGAGCAGTTGACCGTGTCCGAACCGTGGGTTGCTGTGGCAGCCTATTACTATGGAGCATCTCAACGACTTCGATTTGGCTGATGATGTTGATGACGGCGCTCTGACATGCAGAGTAAGCTCAACGACCTTGTGGAACGCTCCTCTGAAGCAGGTCTAACCATCAACGTCAACAAGACCAAATCGTTGGATGTCAACACGGAAAACCGTTCCAACCGTTGCCCGACCGGTAGCTGGGCAGGCAGTGGAGAAAGTTGAAAGCTTCCAGTATCTTAGCATCCAGATAGCATCGGACGGCGGCACCAAGAGCGACATAGGTGCACGGATTAAGAAGGCGAGGGCTGATTTTGCCAGTTTGCGAAATGTATGGAGAGCGAATCAGAGCTGCAGGTGTTTATCAACCGATGCCTGCGGTACATAATTCTTGCCTGGTGGCCCCACAATTGGATCTCAAATTCCGAGCCTCATCGTTTGTGCCATCAGAAGCCAATAGAGACAGAAATTCGTGAACGGAAGTGGTGGTAGGTCGGCCACACACTACGACGGAGCGGAAATGTAATCTGCAAGAAAGCACTGGACTGGAATCCAGCAGGACATCGCAGCAAAGGCAGACCCAGAGGCTCGTGGCGGCGGAGCCTAAACAGTGAAATTAAGACCGTTGACCGCAATTTGACTTGGGCACAGGTCAAGGCCAAAGCTAGTAATCGTCCAGGATGGAAATCTTTTACAAAGGCCTTTTGCACCCCTGGAGGTGCGCAGGATCGTTAAGTAAGTAAGTTACTTTAAATGGCAAGATAATTCATCTATGTTTTCTCATCGTACGAGCACTTTAGTCGGAATTTGTATTAGTAAGAAGGGTGATTTTATCATTGGCAGATTAATCCACGTTTTTGACTATGATCTCTATAAAATAGTGGGTGGGACAAAACTTTGCCTGTCCCACCCAGGTATTTTTGTGCATAGGACACGTCCCACCTGTCCCACCTACTCCTAGCGCCTTTGCGTAAACAGAAAGAAATCAACAGCTTATAAGATAATTACGAAAAATCTTATGGTGGTGTAGTAGTAAACGTAATTGCCTCTCACCCCAAAAGGCCTGGGATCAATCCCAATCGGCGCCACCAGGATTTTCTGAGGCATAAAATCTCTGATCACGTCGGGAAGAAAAGCCGTTGGTCCCCGGTCCATGATGGGTTGCTAGGTAGGGTCCAAGGTGTCGAAGCTGCCTCCCTGAAGTCGGTAGTATTGATACTCAGTACGGAAAACAAGATCGACGGAAAACAAATTAAGGAAAAAAAAAGACATAATGTTTTACTCAAAATAGTTTACATTAATAAGCGTAGTCCTACGTAGCGTCCTTGAATGAAAATAATTCAATACATCTAACATCTGTACTATTTACTTCATTCGTGTGATGTCTCGCCTCATGTCCAATCACTGTTCGTTAAACGCTCACTTGTTCCGTGTGGGGTTTTTTTTTTTTTTCCTTTGGTTTGTTTTTTCCGTCGATCTTGTTTTCCGTGTTGAGCACCAATGCTACCGACGTGCCAGGAAGGCAGCTCCCACACCTGGACCCTACTTATCGACCCATCAACTCATGAACCGGGGACCAACGGCTTTACTTCCCTTCCGAAGGAAGGCGTGATCAGATATGTTATGCCTCAGAACATCCCGGTGGCACCGACTGGGATTGAACCCAGGCCTGCTGGGGTGAGAGGTAATCACGCTTACCACTACACCACCGGCGCCGTTATTCCGTGTGGGGTTGGGAGACAGCAATCTCTGCGAATGTGGACAAGGTTACCAGGACGCAGATCACATTATTTGGTCTTGTGCTGAGCATCGTGGAGTCAGATCTGAGCTATATGATTCCCTTCGGGCTCGAGGTAGACAACCTAATGTTCCAGTTCGGGATGTTTTGGCTGGACGCGATCTGGAGTTTATGAAGCTCATTTATGTTTTCTTGAAGAATATTAACCTTAGATTATTAGTTTGATAAACCTTGTGTTTAGTTTGTATTTTGGTTGTGTGTGTGTGTTTTTTTTTGTTGTGTTTGTCTTGTAATAATAGTGTAATTACAGTGCTGATATCAAGTTGAATAGGAATAAGTTCATGTTTTAGGAAATATTTGTATCGTAAATCACATTTCAAACCTTTTTCTCTCCTCATGAAACTGTAAATCTCCACTAACCTTGAGACGACCGCGAGTACTCGGTTCAATTCCTTTAACTTTAGATTTAAGATATTAATAATGTATAACACAAATGATAATTTGGCTCTGTAAAGTTTATTCGATTGAGTCTGTATAAATAAATTAACTTACAAAAAAAAACATCTGTACTGAAAATGATCTACATATAAAAACAGTGTCGATTGTCATACGGTATTTGTGAATATCGAAATTAAGTGCAATCGAATACTGAATCATTCTATAATAGGATAAGATTTGTTTCAGAATGTGGGTTTTAATGTGAGCATTTTTAGTCACGTTTTTCGATAGCAATCAATTTTGTATGGTGAGTAAGTGTTTGCCCTTTTACATATTTCAATCAGCGTGTCATCCTTGCACTTCTCATTATTGATTTGAGTTCCTGATTATAATAATGATCAATGAATTTGACGATTGCATCTCGACAAGCTGAGCGTAAAACTTTGTATTTGTAAACATGTAAAGGTCTATTTATAAACATATTCGTAGAATTGATCACTAGAAGAGTGAACTATTCTTCAAGCCTCAATTTATTAGCATCATCAGTCTGTTTTCGAGCACTTCCAGTGCTAGTTCATCTAGGATGTTTCTTCTAAAATTGATTATTTTGACGACTTCCTGTGTTTTGATTCAAGGAATTTTCCTCTCAAATCTTAATTCAACATGCTTCCGGTGTCTTTGTGAATCATCTACCGGCTGTAGCAACCGACTGCGGTGTGATCAAGGCGTACGTCCTAGGTTATAATTACCATTTTTATCAATTCCGTTTGATGGTTGATTCCATTTCGCAGTACTGTGGTCCATTTTCCATTTCGCGTGCCTACTGGATTGATGCCGGGAAGGTTGTGAAGGCACAGGATGACCCGAATCGTTGGGGAGCGTACGAAGAGTGTGCCAACCAGTACGACTGTGCTACCAACATCATTACGCAATACATGGAAAAGTATGGCAAAGATTGCAACAACGACGGCTTGGTGGATTGTGTCGATTATGCAATGTTGCACATTAACGGAGGGCCAACATGTCATTTACCACTAAATTTGGAGTTTAGTAGAAAGTTCAGTGGCTGCATGCAGCAAAGTCAGCGACAAACTGACAACATAGTGAGGTTGGGTACAAATCTTGGATAGCGGCATGTTCAGTTTCGTTAGCTTGTACTTTTATTTGCAAACATGACAATAAATTAAATCTTTGCTTTCATTTGGCTACCTTCTTATTGTATCAAATGAAAATCATGTTTATGAACTAATACAAAAAAAAAAAATAAACTGTAAACAATAAGTAAAATACTATACACACACATTTTTACAACGCGAGCACGATTATCACTGTAAACATTCCTGTTTGAGCACTACTTATGGATGGGATCGACGGCAGGAGTGACGATGAATTTATTTTTGTTCTTCTGACTTTGGCGATTGGAAGTACCTTCTCCGGGGGCACTGTGTCCAGTGGCGCTGGCGACATTCTCCAAGATCTTTGACAGGGGTGCCGAAGTGCCTCGGAACGAATCGGAAAACCGATGGTGTCTTCGGAAACCGACGATATCGATCGGTTTTGTTCGACTCGTATGCCCAGGCGACAAGGGTTCCGACTGTTGGATGGAAAATAGATCAGATTTAGTATTATCTTGCTAGAATGACCGATGAAGAATAGCATTACTTCTTCACCCACTGTGGAAAATTTAGGTGGTGACCATGGTTTTGATGAACGTAGATAGGACGATGGAATTCTGTAATTACAGACACGGATGTTAGTCACAACACGTTCTTTGAGGTTATTTACTTACGCCATACTTCATGAACTGATGCGCCGCGTGATGCGGCGGGTAATGACTTTGAGTATCTGTGTTATTAGCGGACAGACTTAGATAAAGTGCCTCCAGCTCTTGGATCGTGGGTCGATGTTCTTTCTGGTGATGGTGGTGTCTTGGCGACCAGGTATTTTGTCCTGCCCGACCAATGGTATTCAACCACCGTTCGGAGCCCTGTTTGTCAGTTTCGGATTGTGGACGGAAATGAGACAGCTCTTGAAGCAATTGCTTATTCATCGTCATTCCATCCATCGTGTGCATAGTTTTGTTGTAATCTCGGGCAATCTTGATGTCGTGGTTCCAGAATTGTTTCTGATCCTTCGGAACGATTGGAGCCACTTCTTTCACCTGTCAATCGTAATGATAGATTAGAACATGTTGATTCACTTATGTGCCAAGGAGTGATACGCTACTTACCCAAAGAATGAAAATTCCCATGATATAGATGCAGCACACGTTGACCAGAGTAAGACAAAAGCTCATACAACCGAGACAGAACAGCTCTACTGATTGGGTTTCCGAGTAGAAGTTCGTTTGGGTAACGGTGGAATAACGTTGGTCCGGTGCCTTGCCAAAAATTGAGCTCAGCAGGGAAAGAGACCACAAAATACCCTGTAATTAAACTCACAACGTTGAACGCATTCAATTAAGTTCATTCAAGATCCATCTTACAGCATTGACGGACGGTGGCAATAGAGAAGCCGAGATAGCTACACCCACGAGTCCACCACCGTTTTCGGCCAGTATGGCAACGGCTACGGCAGCCCCCGAAGGTAGTGCAATTGCTATGCCCAATTTCAAAGAATGCGGTTGACAGCGAGCCAACATTTCTGCGGTAACACCTTCGCCAAGGCCCCACTTCTCGTCGGTACTGCTAATGATCAATCCGAAGAAGAATCCACTCAACAAAACTAATCCGATGGCAATGGTTTCGTTTCGAATTCCTAGCATTTGCAAGTTCTTATCTTTGATTACAGTTCCGAACACTGCCGCTAGGATTGGACCCTGAAATGGTGAAAATGGATGAACATCTACATTTAGGCTCACATCGCCGATACTCACCATCAACGGTGATACAAGCATACTGGCGATAAGATTCACACTACTGTCTTCGATCAGACCGAATGCAGCTATGACACTGTATTGGGGACATACATTCAAATTTAATAAGAAACTATACAATTAGGGGATTTGTTTTCAACGAAAAATACTCACGCAGCCGTTATCAACATGGTCACATAATCAAACGTGATCACTGCACCGTTCTTGACGTTATCGACGATCGAAGCTACGTTGAGTTGAGCACGGGCCGAAGTGAGAAAACTATTCCAGGCGCTGCCTTTGCCGTTTGCTCTGCAATGAGGTTGTTAATTTGCGTTAGCTGATTTAGAACTCTCAGATGCATTCGTTAGATAGCAAGAATGTAGTAAAAGAAAAGAAAAAGAGTTAGTTTTCTTAGAAATAAATACATTTTTCCGAACTCCAGCAATCAAGCATAAGCTTGGAGGATCTTACTCTTCCGAAACTTTACGCAGTCTGCTGTCCTACACACTTAATGTAGCTCGGTAAAATCTCCATCAACCGATTACCTAGGCATTTGCTTTTGCTGATATCTCTGCAAAATATCTGTTTGTTATCTGATATCTCAGCAAAATGTTATTTATTAGCAGAGTCCCGGCAATTGTTTTACTAAATCTCAGCAAAATATATTGCAGAATCACTCGGCTGTTGGAATCTCGGCAAAAAAAAAATAAGTGTGTATTCTCTATCTCCGCCGTTCGATTTGGCTGTTTTATTTCGCTCTGGACGATGGTTTTGCAAAAAATGTACATGTGACAGCACTGGTCAGGAGGGGCTCATTCAAATTAGTCCACATACTCCATTATATCTATACATTTGAATATACAGTGCTTTCCCGATATTGTCAGCTCCCGATTTTGTTTACCCCCGAAATTTCGTTGATCAGCCGTTTTGAAAATCATTTTTTTTTTATTTTCATCGATAATCAATCCTATACGCCTTGTAGCTATTGAGCGGTATATATTATTGCTATTGAGCTATTGAGCGGTATATATTATTGTATCAAAAAATAATTTGTCTGCATTTTGGACATAGGCCCTTTTCAAATGTTACGCGGAATTCATATTATTCATTTTACTTTTACTTGTTTCCTTATTTACTTGTTTCCCTACTAGGAATTATTAGTTTTTAATCGCTGTTTTTCTTAGAACAATATGATTTACCACGGAAAACCTATATTTCTTTTCCTGGTGACCTTCTAAGAGCAAAATTGACAAATTTTATATAGCATATACAAACTTTACCACCTCTTCTTGCATCTTACAAATTATCATTATAGTATGCCATTGTTTCATAATACCGCAACATTGCATTTTTGCTGTAATGAGCAATTGCAAGCATAATTATAATCAAACTAAACCAACTGCTAGAGGAATCACTCCCTTATCTGATGGTGTTATTAGTTTCAGAAATTGAACTTTTATTCGCAAGAAACCAGTGATTCAAGTCATTGTTTCAAAAACAGTTACGCCCAAATCTCAAATCAGTCCGGATATAAGGGTTTCTGAAGCATCTATGTTTTCTGTGGTTTATTTTGAGGCTCAAGGAAATGAATCTACTTAATTTTAGTGCTTTATTCCCAATCGCCACTGGCAGCTCCATTAGGAGTCAAGGGGGGCACGTGCCCTCCCTCATTTGTTGCTAGTTTTAACACTTTAACAACAAATGCAGCAAGTAAATTTTGCCTGTCATATTAAATTGTCCACATTATACCATAGAGGTAACTCTAAGACCAGAAGGTCCCGAAGAAACGAGCTCAACTTTTTGGCTCAACTCTGGTACTATCTTCGGTCCCAAGCTAATCGATTCACCCCTCGAAACATAAGAAAATCAACTAACCCCTCATTTTATCTGTCAAACTTCAAGCGAATCAAAACAAACATTGTATAGTAGTAGAATTTCGACTAGAATGGGGTGCGTTAATCGTTTGCTTGGGACCAATAGGCTAGTCAAGTAGTGAGCCAATTTAATATCGTTAGTTTCGTATTGATTGTTGCTTATACCTCCTGGAGCCAGTCATTCCAATCTCTATCAAAAATCGCCTTAACCTAAGAGTACTCGCCTCACCTTTCTAAAATCGAGTTCTAACGTGTTGTATACAATATTATATAAAATACAAATCACGGGGTTGAACGGCGCCGGTGGTGTAGTGGTAAGAGAGATAACCACCCCTATTCTGTATTTCGTTTCGAACGAAATTCTCATACAAAAAAATATTTTTTTGTATGAGAATTTCGTTCGAAACGAAATACAGAATAGGGGTGAACTTCTCACCCCAACAGGCCTAGGTTCAATCCCAGTCGGCACCGCCGGGATGTTCTGAGACATAACATCTCAGATCACGCCTTCCTTCGGAAGGGAAGTAAAGCCATTGAGTTGCCATGAGTTGATGAGTCGATAGGTAGGGTCCAGGTTGGAGCTGCCTCCCTGGCGTCGGTAGCATTGGTGCTCAGCATGGAAAACAAGATCGACGGAAATCAAATCAAAGAAATAAAATACCCTTCACGGGCACTTAACGTGATTCGCTGTGACATCCTTATTCCAGTAACCACTTCGAAACTTGAAGCGCACACATATCAGCTTCTGCGACACGTGTAACATTTAAATTGTTACTCCACGTTTGCTGCCCTGCAGCATATATGAAGTAGCAATTTCAAACGAAATGGGGTACTGATTTCCGAGATTTGACTGCTAACTCACCCACGCAAACAAACACCATCTACTGGTAGAGTAATCTTTCCTTTACTAGCTGGTGTTGTTAGTTTCGGTGAGTGAGCTAGCAGTTGCCAAAAATCGTCGATTGAAGTGGTTGTTTACAAAATCAGATACGTCGATTTGAATAGTTGCGCTTGCATTGATTTCAGGTTTTTGCATTGAAAATTTCTGCCAACGCATAGGCGAGATTCGAAGTAGGCCCTGCTAAGGTCGGTTGGCTTTTTAAGAGCTGTCACGATTTTTTTTTCTGTTTGATTATTATATCCGAGGAAAATACATAACAAATCGCGGTCAAACTCATTTTGGCAGATATTATATTTTTTAGGTTAGCCAGAGGAAAATAATAAACAACTTTACACGGTAGAGTTTCTATAATTACCAAAATCGGAACGTACGGTACGGGATTCTGCAAACGCATAAAGTGTACAAAGATGCAAGAAACACACACATTTTCTCTGCTTTGAGTTGATACATTTTTCTTTATCGTGAAAATTGATTCGAAATATTTTATGGTTTAGAAGAGTTCTTATACATCTAGATAAATATTTCAAAAGGACCTATCTGCATTGCTCGATTCTCTTCATCGGCTTTCTCTTTTGTTAATAACTCAGTTTCAAAACCTTTCCCTATTGTAGTTAACGTTTTGGACTCCTTTATCAAACTATGTGGTAAAATTAGCGCGAAATCTGTTTGCATAGCAGTTTTTATCACAAGAGAAAGTCGATGAAGAGAATCGATCAAAGCAGATAGGACCATTTGAAATGTTCATCGAGAGATAATAGTCATAGGTAGGGTGAAGTGGGGTAAAACGCGTCCCAGGGTAATGACCAACATTTTTTTTTCTTCGTACTGTTTAAAGACTAATTAATATAAACTGTTTCCCAGATGATAGTTCAGCAACTCTGCTAGTGATTCAGAGTGAAAACCCATTACATTTAATCTTTTAATTTTATTCGAACCTCTTAAGGGAATGCCTTTATTAAGAGCTTGGTATATTTCCTTTTAATTCCGTTATAATTGCTTATCTTTTGACAGATACCCGTATTTCGTATACTACTTGCAGACTTCATTAGTGCCAAGTACTCAACACCACTGAAGAATCCATCTTTTATCTACGATATAAATGACATATGACACCTGTCATAAGTCGCAATCAGCGATTTTATTGTGCGCTGAACATTGGTAAAATCGCTGATTGTGACTCTTAGGCGAAATTGACAGGTTGTGGTGTCAAACGCGAGCTTTGCATCCTTTTCTTGTGTCTTAGAAGTGTAGAGTATGATCATGATATCTAATGATTTCATAATTCAGGAAAACATGTTTATTTTTATTTGAAATGAGTATTTGCAACCTTGCCCCAATGTATTTAATTATAATTAAATGTATTGTAATTAGATTTGGAGACGCATCACCGGGCTCAAACATGGTATAAAATTGTATGGAAGAAAGTTCAACCCTGTTTAAATGCTAGTGTAGGTTTTTTCAAAATAAATAAGTGTGCAAAGTTGCGTAAGAAGTAATTTTTATATTATATTCTGATTCTTATAGAGGCAACACAATTATGCAATTATGTTAAGGTTCAATTTACTTTGATGCATTTTTTAAAAATTCAAAAGCAGTTTTTTTCGACGTATTATTTTAGATCGCAAAAAGCTCGCGTCATTTTGTGTAAAATATCAAAAGGAATCGAATAGTGCGAGCTTTTTGCAATCTAAAATAATGCGTCGGAAAAAACTGCTTTTGAAATTTTCCAAAAAGCATCACAGTAAATTGAACCAATCAGCTTTATGATCGCTAGTTGTGACCTTCTGAAAGCAAAATTGACAAATTATATATGTCATATACAATCTTTACCACCTCTTCTTGCATCTTACAAATAAAAATTATCATTATAGTATCCCATTGTTTCATAATAACGAAAAATAGCATTTTAGCTGTAATGAGCAATTGCAAGCCTGATGAATGGAGCTTGTAAAATCAATATCAAGCATTATATTTTGCTCCAATATTACGCGTGATATTGAAAGCGTATTAGAGCGGAAAAATCATGCTATCATTGATGTTAACTCACATTTTCATATTAGACTTAGCTCCTGGTGGCGCCAATTACGCAAATTACGATGCATTTAATTATGATTTGTGTTCATTACAAATATATATCCTCTAGATTCTATATATTTTATTAAAAAGCGTGACTTTTTAAGAATACTTATCGATCCTTCCTTTTGGTGTCCTCTTGAAATTTTTCCTTGCTCCTTTTGTTTGAAAGTAGATAGTCATACCTTGTAAATGCTGTCCATAGGGTTCTGCATTTTCGAAACAAGGAAAAGAAAATGATTTCTCCGCAGAATCGCTTCATTTCGAGCAATATCATTTTCGTGTAAGTCGTCGAGTTTCTTGTTATCGAGTCACGATGAACATTTCTCTTTTCAAACATGACTGGACTATCACTTGTTTCGTTCGTCAAGAGCTTCAGTCCATTTCATTTGAAGCAAAGACTTGTTTCAATTGACGCAATGAATGACTCGAAAACTGCTTCCTTCGTTTTTTCCACATTCACTTCAATTCGGGGCTCATTCGACTTGTCACGACCTGACGACGCAGGCATAAAAATATAGTATCGGGAACAATGCGTGGATTCTAAAAATCTATATCGGACGCTATGTTGGAATCCAATATGGCGGCCATCAGGATTCAGAAAGAACGGAGATGCCGACAATCGATATTCGACGCCATTTTGGAATCCAAGATGGTGGTCATCAAGTTTCATAAAACGTGTCAAATACCCTAAGATATGGGTATTTTCGGAACGGAACCAACGCGTGGCTGCCGAAAATCGATTTCCGATGCTATGTTGCACTCCAATATGGTGGCCATAGGCTATCAGAAAAAGTGTCAAATACCCTACAATATGGTTATTTTCGGAACAGGGACAACGCGTAGATGCCAAAAATCGATATCAGAGACCACTTTGGAATCCAATATGGCGGCCATCAGGGTTCATAAAGTGTCAAATACCCTACAATATGGGTATTTACAGAATGGAGACAACGTGTTAATGCCGAAAATCGATATCCGATGTCGTTTTGTAATCCAATATGGCGGCCATCGTGTCATAAAAAGTGTCAAATTCCCTAAAATCTGGGTATTTTCGGAACGAGGACGACTCGTAGATGCTGAAAATCGATATTCGATGCCATTTGTAGGCTATTTGACACTTCTTCTGAAATCGGTAGCCACCATCTTGAATTTCAAGATGGCGTCTGAGATCGATTTCTTTCTTCTAGATGTCAGCCCGATTGCAAAAAAACCCACATTGATGGTATTTGACAGTATTTCACAGTTTTTTCTGAACCAAAGCCGCCATATTGGATTTAAAGACGGCTTGACATCAATTTTCGGCAAATACGTCGCAACCTCATTCTGAAAATAACCATATTTTAGGATATTTGACACTTTTCTGCAAATCGGAAGGCGCCGTCTTGCATTACAAAATGGCGTCGGATATTGATTTCCAATCTCCAGACGTGACCCCGATTCCAAAAATATCCATATTGATGGGATGGCATCAGCATTTCCCATTTTTTTTTCAGAAATAGGAAGCCGTCATATTGGATTTCAAAATAGCGTCAGATATTAATTTACGGCCTCTAGACGCCATCCCGATTCCAAAAATACCTATATTTAGGTATTTGACAGTATTTCTCACTTAATCTGAAATCGTAAGCCGCCATCATGGATTTCGAAATGGCCTCGGATATCGATTTTCATCCTCTAGACATCATCCCGATTGCAAAAATACCTTTATTGATAAGTATTTGACAGCATTTCTCACTTTTTCTTAAAATGGAAGCCGCCATTTGAATTTCAACATTGCGTAGCATATCAATTTTTGATCTCTACACGTCAGTCCGATTAAAAAAATACCCATATTGATGCGAGGGGGGGTGACACATCTAAATCTCAATTCTAGTTGCTCAAAAAATCTCACACTAGCGAATCAATCTTCGAAAAAGCATCTTTCATTTCTCACATCTACTTGCATCGTGCTTCATCTTTTTGCAGGAAATCTTCAAAATCGACATAAATCTTCCTTCTATCTATTCAGCGTGCGTGCAGCTAGCCACAGCAAAACATAATCTTTTCTGCATCGTAGATAGAGTCGTCCCCTTCGTATTGATGGGTAAACAAACCACCCGACAGTGATAAATTTGACATCCACGTGCACAGATCTCCGGAGTGATTTGAGATTTAGGCGTAATTGCATTTGTAAACAAACACGTCAATCGCCGATTCCTCGCGAATACACGCTCAATCTTGAAAACTAATAACACTATGAGGTAAAAGAATGATTCCTCTATCATTTGGTATATTTTGCTTATGAGATTGAGCTTTTATTCAAGAGAAATCGGCAATTGACGTGTTTGTTTACAAATGCAATTACGCCCAAATCTCAAATCACTCCGGATCTATGCGCATACGTTTAAATGAATCGAGTGAACAAGCAACAAAAGTCATAAAAACTGCACGAATTTGGATCGAACAGCTTCGCTTCAATGCAAAAGTAAGTTCATTTGACAATGAAAGAAGAAATGAACACGAGTCAAGGCAAAACAAACAGCATGAAAACTGATCGAAAGTGGTTCTGTTGGTATTGACGGGGATCTGCTCGAAGAGAAGACAGAATGACTTTCAATTGAAAGTGATGGTTGACAGCTTCAAAGTCGCTTGACGATTTTCGATTCAAAGTAACTTTGTGGGGCCCTGGCTGGCACAATTTAAAAAAAAATTAACAAAACTTTGCCGCATTTTGCTTTGCTCGATAATTTGTAAGTTAATAATGTTTTTCCACAGAAAATTAGGCATTTATGCAAACAGAGTTAGTATGCATATTTTGAATTGCACCAATGAGGGTTCGTGTGTCGTAATTTACTCATCAAGTTTGACCTTGCTTTGTTGGAAACCGGAATACGTTTGAAATCAGATCATATCAATCAATCTTTTATACCTTTCAGGTTCGATAACGAGGCTTTTCATCAGTTTTGTGAAACTTTAGTAAAATACTGGTTAAATTCTAGGTAATTCAAATTTTAAAGCGAGTCCTATTTTTAGATAATATATCTAAAAAAAAACATTTGGAAAGATTTACACTGTGTTTCCAGACCAAAACTGACCCAAATACACTAGCAAGTTTATTCAATAAAATTGATTCTGTTCGCTTAGAGTGGGAGTAGTAATCTCCAGTGATTTTCGATGATTTAAGGAGTTTCCTGACTCAATGGAGACAATTTCTCAATACTTTGGTGTATCTGGTTATCTGATGAACTTTTCATTTTTCAAACATATAATTTCTGATCCTTTAAAACTTGAAAAACCGTGCTAAGAGGAATGTGTATATACTAAAAATGGCCAGTCAAATAAGGACTTTTCATTAAAGAAAGTGGACACCTGTTTTTCAATGGTTTAGGGCTAAAACGTAACGCAAAATTGTGAATTTTCGCTTAGTGTGTGAAAACATTGTTTATTTTGGCAAGACACCGAAAAAATAAAAAAAAATAAAATAAGTGAAAAATTTCGAACAGTGGGTCGGATCAGCTTATCAACTCGCTGATTTATTCTGCACAAATGGTTTTCCGAAAAGTTGCCGTTTCGAGAATTGGCAAAAAGCGTGAAGTGCAGTAAATCTACAGTGTTTAAGATTGTTAAAAAGTTTGGAGAAACGTGTTCTCTTGAAGATTTACCGAAATTTGGGCGCAAAAAGGGGGTATCGGACCAGAAAAAGGAGCTGGCAGCAGTACCCCTTTTGAAATCGCATAAACCGTGTTCCGTTCGTGAAATTGCCGAAAAATTGGATATTAGCATCGGAACGGTGCAGAATATCAAAACACGTAACAATATCAGAACCTACAAGAAGCAAAAAGCACCCAAAAGGACTGATTCACAGAAAGCTGCTTCGAAAATACGGTCACGGAACTTGTATGACGTTCTCCTTCAAAAGCCGAACTGGTGCATTTTGATGGACGACGAGACGTACGTTAAATTGGATACCAGTACATTTCCCGGGCCGCAATTTTTCAACGCTGAGCAGAGGACAGATGTGCCTGATGATGTCCGATGCATCTGAACCGAAGCATTTGGAAAAAAAGGTTTTGGTGTGGCAAGCCATTTGCTCCTGTGGCTTGAAGAGTTCTTCGTATTTCACAACGGGCACAATCAATGGTGAACATTACAGAAAATAATGCATCAAAAAACCGTTTCTACCCATCTACCGAAATCATACGGATCCTCCATTGTGTTGGCCGGATCTGGCATCTGCTCACTAAGCTTCTGCTATGTTGGAGATGCTCAAGAAGGAAAAAGTCGATTTTGTCGAAAAATTCCAAACTCCCCCAAACTGCCCTGAACTGCGTCCTATCGAAAGATACTGGGCAATAATTAAACGGCATCTTAAGAAAGATGGAAGAGAAACAAGCTCTGTTGACTGCTTTAAGAAAATTTGGTCTGCAGCACAACGAAAAGGTAAGAAGAAAGTTGTGCAGAATCTAATGGGCGGTATCAAGAGAAAAGTACGATCGTACTTCATTCAAACTCACGTGAAATCGTGTTGATTTTCATTTAAATAAAGTAAACTTATGAATTTGTTCGAAAATAAATATTTTCCTTTGAGAAACAGGTGTCTACTTTCATTAATGAACAGACCTTAGTCCACAATACTTACTGCTTGTCATCCTCCTCGTCCTGCCGTTGCTCGGTGAACAGCGTACACGAAGTGATGGAAATCGTTGAACCGTACCGTTCGCCGATGCCCCAAGAGCACAACAGATAGATCACATCATCGCACCGGGCGCCGGATTCTATAGAAAAAGTAATCTGAAACAAACTTTGCTAGCGATTTCCAAGGGATGATCGATCAATTTGATCGCCTACCTGATGGCCGCGGCCTTTATTCGTTTCTACCCAGGAAGACGTCCGTATCTGCTTCTGTCGTAGGATTTCCTTCATCACTTCCGCCAGAGTAGAGTCTGCCGATAATTGTATTTTCTCAGTTTCCTTCTGCAGCTCTTTGCATCTCCTTGCAGAACCCATGATGTCTTTGAAGCCTTCCCAAGATTTTCGCAGCGCAGTGGAGCGATCGAGTGGAACCTGAAGTTATGGAAATTCAGTTGAAATCAAGCTGGTCAATAACTGGATGTTGGGACTACTTACTCCTAACGTATTGCCAGTGGGGTTAGCTGGCTCCTCGGTGGATTCCTTATGTGACGCGAGAGGTGTTTTGGGGATTTCAACAGCATCAGCATCGGAGACATCGATAAATGGAATCACGTCACCTTGTGTGTTCAGGGTAGGTTGTTTCTGTTGCTCTTGTTGAGGGTCGGTAATGTCCAATAAACTGTGCCGGTGTTCCTCGTTTTGCTGTAATAGGTACGTGTTTTGATTTATTATTGGCTTGTGTTTCTTGGCGGGAAGTGGCAATATATAGTAGAAGAGTACATGTTTTGGCAAGGGCTAACTGTTACTGTTTGATATTCGTATTTTCTATAGTTGTAATTTTGTTGTAAAACTAGACTAACCAGACAGCTCGAGCTGAGCACCGTCCGAGTGTGCTTGAAACTTGTTTGTCTAAATTTAGCGCTTTCAGGTCTTCTGGAGCCAATAATAAATATATTCATAGTGACGAAATCAAGTGCCGTCGTTTCGTGACAGGTAGTAGATGTAAAGGTAGAACCGTACAACGGGGTGTCTTTTTTTAATACGGGTACCTTTGATTCCATATTGTAGCTTAGGGTATTTCAGTTGATATGGTTGAATAGATTTTATATAGTATGTGTTACATCTTTTACAAATATATTAAAATTTTCTTGTTTCTCGTCTGTTTGTAAAAACACTCAAACCAGCACTCATGAAATGTATTTCATTTACATCCATCACAAATTCAATGCCGTTTTCTTACTGCTTATGATGTTTCTGATTATATATTCATTCAAAGTATCATATTTCTTGAATTAAATTATTTGAGTTTCACGCATTTTCTTCTACATTCATCGAGCATTATCAAAGTAACCCCAAATCAAAATACTGATGTTCGGAAAAAAAAAGACTAAAAAATAGTACAAATGCTTTAATTTCCGTTAAACATATTACTAACAAATTAACTCTAGGATCCTCAATACTTGTTAAAAAAATTGAAAAACATGAATTGCTGTAAAAAATATATTGAATGTAGTTAAAAAAACTATCAATATTACCCCGTTTTACGGTATACTATATTTACTGTAGTACCGCAAACTGGAGGATAAGTTGATTATGTTTTTACTAATAAACCTGAATACTCTTTCAACAATACGTTTGATACACAAACAAATACCCCTTTTTTTGTTTATTTATTGAAGAGACTTTCAGCCTTGTGGGTGGGCGTTGGCCAGCTTTGGATTTTTCAGATATAATCCTAAATAGGACCTAGATTATTTAATACTCTAGTAACCTAAAGTCCGTGCTCTGTCACAATGTTTCATTGTGATTAATCAACACTCAAAGCGGTAAAATATCAAATTTGGAGTGAATTTGAGAGAAAGGGAACTTGGAGTGTAGAGCGCACTGCCCACTGGACGATTCTGAAGCCTGGCCAAGTGAGTGTGGTATGGGTTTATTTGATTGAACGTCAATCTATATATTGATACCATTGGCATTTGGTATTTGAGATAAGACAGAGATAGGATTCGGAGGGCCCGCTTAGGGGGAGCGTAAACCCATGTTATGGTTTCCATATATTAAATAGTTCAGATATGCTAGAAATGACAGGTTTATAGTGAGAGAATCTACCATATGGTGCCCGTTCACTGATCAAAATCAGATTCGCATTGTCAGGCCCTGCCCAAGAATAAAGAGATTGACGATGATTTTCCAAGTTTTATTTTGCATTTGTGCAAATAATTGTAAGTTTAAGTTTGCTCTTGTAATTATAAGATAAATAGTTTACTTCATTTGAAACATTGAGTTGTATAACTTTGACGAACCATAACATAGTAGTAATACCATAGAGGTAACTCTAAAGCAAACCCCACACGCATCAATATATTGACGCGAAGGGGAATTATTGACAATAATATTGATGATGTGAATTCAGAAATATTGTCAATCTCGATATATTGACGTCAATATAGAATGTATTGACAATACGATTATTGTCAATAAAAGTAATCGTGTAGGGTCCACTTAAGACTAGAAGGTCCCGAAGAAACGAGCTCAACTTTTTGGCTCAGCTCTCTTTTCAGTCCCAAGTAAATCGATGCACCCCTCGAAATATAGGAAAATCCACGAACCCCTCATTTCATCTGTCAAACTTTCATAGCGAATCAAAACAAACTTAGTGTAGTACTAGAATTTTGACTAGAATGAGGTACGTTAATCGTTTGCTTGGGACCAATAGGCTAGTCAAGTAGTGAGCCAATTTAAAATCGTTAGTTTCCAACCGGTGGCAATGCAGTGTCGCATGATCTAACAACCACTACCTGCAAATAAAGTTGGAGTGGCCGACAGAGCTGATTACGGATCAAAACTAACGTAATTCTAACACTAAAATGATCCCGAAACTAACGTTCATTTATTGCACTTTAAGTAATAAAGAAGTTTTATTTATATTCGGTGGACGTTGGCCAAAATTGGATTTTTTTATATAAATGTTATCCTAAAAAGGACCTAGATTATTTAATAGTCTAGCAACTTCAAGTTCGCGCTCGGTCACAATTTTTAGTGTGAATAATCAACACATAATGGGTAAAGTATAAAATTTGAGATGAATTTGAATCAAAGGGAACTTGGAGTGTTGAGTGCAATGCCCACCGGTTGATGCTGAAGTCTGGCCAAGTAAGTGGGTTACGGTTTAATGATTTCTGAATGGACAATACAGTGCAGGTGAACATTTTATTTTTTACTCCACATTACAATCTTTGTATCTGTTTTAGGGTTTTGGGTTAACAGGGGCAGAGCACGGAGGTTTATAAAGTACTATCAGTTAAAACTGTGTTTTTGAGATTTATCGCTATATAGTCTTCGGTGTTTCCTAGCGGATAATCAAGATGGTGTTCGCTGATTCAAAGAATGGATTGGATAAACATTGAGCTATCCAAAGTTGGGCGTTGTTGAACTTGTGGTACTTGCACAACATTTTATATGAGTATCCAGGTAACCAAATAGTCACAAAGTAGCGTTGAATGTGGGTTCAGAGTGAGACAATGTCACTAAAACACAATATGGTAACTTGGGTATTTGGATAAAACTATTACTGATATTTCTGATATAAAACTAATCTTGGTTGTATCTCTTTTTCTTTGCATGCATTCCGGGTGGTGAGCGAACATGATGAAGAAAAAGAAGATGGCTTTATCACAGAGTCCCGTCTCGGAACGAGTGCATTGTTAATGGACCTGGTCTACGATTCAAGTTTGGTTTCTGTAATGATAAGTATCACGATCTTCATCGAAATGTAAGTATTATTGACAATAATCATAACGATCAACTCGTATATATGTACATTGAAATACATAAATAAAAGGGAAGGGACGGTTCAAAAGCGATTTGGACGGGGAGAGTGGGAATGCCAACTCCCTGTTGATAACATTTCGTGGATAAAGGACGGGCTCTTCTCCCCACTCATTGGGGCATCTTCCTGTTCGGGGGCTTGTCTTTTTGACCAATTGGCTGATCAAGTTGCTGGAAGGAGATTCTTTATTGTTCCGTAGATGCGTAAAGGCGACTTTGCCTATCGATCTACCCAATCCGTTTTTGGACCTTCATACAGAGACATGTTGAGGACAATCAAGGGTTATTAAGCTTGATCAAGACAAACAGAGAAGAGAGCCCACTGCTGTCGGACTTAGTTTCCGTACTACAATGGGTGGTAGACCACTATCATCATCATAAAGAGACTCAGCCTTGTGCTGGTTCGTCTCTGAACAAATATCTCTCAAATTAGAAGAGAAATACTTCACTAACACATGTTTTCACTTTTTAATTGCATGTTTTCTTTAATTGAAATATATATTTCTGAGGAGAAGATAAAGTTTGAATTTCTAATTTTATTGGCCTCGTTAAATTTGAATCCGGTGGTCAAAGTTCAGCAGAAGCTAAAAAATGTTAATAAAGTTAAGAAATTAATAACAATTTTCGTCAAAAAGGCGTATAAAACACTATTTAAAAAAAAAAAATGATTTCAGGTGCGCATCCAATGACCTAAACTTAAATAAAGCCAGTATTTTCTCGAATATAGCAACTGAAAAAACACTGGTTATGAAAGGATTGCGAGGATCAGCAAAAATTAACATATTAGCATCACTTTAACAAATTTGTAACATTTAGAGATAACCCAGGAGAATCGTTACAATGGATCATCCCAAACCATTGATTCATAATATTACCACATGCAACGACGGAGTGTTGTGTGATCAACTTCACCTCATTTTATGGTATCTGTGTTTGTTGAAAATTCAATATTTCGCTGAATCCCATGACTTGAGTAGTTTGCAAATATTTTTAAGATTCATGTGTTAATTTGAGCCATAAAGAAGGTAACGAGCGAGTGATCATTAAATTGTATCTTTTGATATCCGATAAATCCGTAACGTGTCAAGTAGGTAGGTACCTGGCTAAAATTAACAAGTACATATTTACGTTTTGGGGCAATCAATCATGAGGTAGCACTTGCGTAAAGGAGGGTTTTCGAGAATGGCTGAATATTAATTGAATAAACTATCCACTAGTGATAAAAGATGGGTAGGAAATGGGGCTTGGTGTTTATGAAAAAAACATGAGGAAAATGAAATAAATCTCCACTCCGTGCCGTGTGGGTATAACTGATACCTTGGGTTAAGATCTAATTCCCATCCTCTTAATCACATTCGTCTTTTTACCTCTCTTTTCAATCAGATTTGAATTTAAAATGGATTTTGGTTATCAAAAATGACTACTAAATTTATTTACCTTCCCTTACGTACAGTCATCGGCCAAAACAAATGTGCCATTCGCCATCAGTAACTTTTGGCATACTCTCTTCGAGGGTCCAGATAACCCCATGCTCTTTTAAGGGCTTCAACATAGTTTTGCTTATTTGTGACTCTGGTTTTATCCGTGAATGACCCGCACATTTTCGATGATATTCAAATCCGGGCTCTGTGGAGGCCATTCCCTTGGCTTAATACGGCATGAACTAAAAAGAACGACTTGGTTTTCTTTGTTGTATGTTTCGGGTCATTGTCTTGCTGGAACACAATTGGGTTTTCCAGATATGTTTTAAGGGGTTAGGCCACTGCAGCGGGTTAAAAAAATTGATTTGTTTGGTATTGAATGATAGTTTAGAGTTTAAAGAACACGGGACAATTGTTTTTATACCTGAGAACCCTTTATTTCGCATAAGTCTT